ATCCTATCCTTATGGGACAATTAGCCCAGCATTCCAGAAATACATTATGAGTCTACCACAAAGTCAAACTCAAACTCCAGACCTTATAAATATTTTGAGATACCAAGAAAAAGATAATCTCAAAATCTAACTTTTAATTTGAGTCAAAATATGAAACTTTATATGAACTTGTGTCTATTAACTTTATTTGAGTTTAAAGTCTATAAAACCAAATTAGACTTTAAATCCAATTTTATATAGTCAAAGCCTAGTACGTCCAAATTAGGCTTAACATTGCCGAATTGTGAATTAAGTCCACAAATCATAGAACCAAGTTCAAATATCTAGATTTTAAGCTAGAAACAAAACTTTGTTAATTTGAGCCGAATTGGATGAAAACCAAATGTCAACTTAAGCACAAATTAATACACTCATAACAAAATAAGAAAAAATAAAGATTTTCTATTTTATTTTATCTTCTTTAGTGAAAGACGTCTCTTATGTTGATTTAAAACCTTATAAACAACCATAATAAATTTTAAATCAACCTTTAGATGGATAACTCCATAAATCCCGAAAACATACAAGTAACAACATCAATGTTTATGGTCACAAAATTGACTTAGAATTAAAATAATAAACTCAAATATGGGTAACCTTATCTCAAGACATCATAACTCCATTAATATTTAATCTTTGGACAAAATATTAACTTGTAATTAATATTTTAGCACAATGTTCAAACATTGACAATAAGAACATATCAAACAATAAATTTTATTGTTCATATGTACAACCAGATAATTGTCACATGTTTATCATCACAATAACACATTACTCTATTAAGTATTCCTCAATTCAATTTCAATAAAAGCCTGTAAACCAAATTAGACTTTTATTTAATCAAGTCCAAGAAAACAAATTTGAACTTAACAAAATACCTCAGTTCATCCTTTATTAGATAATCAACAGCAGACTGTAAATGCATATATTATCATGATCAAATAAACCATGTAGGAATTCCCTAAAACCAATTTGTTTATCAGTCAGCAAACAATTAATTGCCGACAAACAATGTAAATATACTTGACCCAACTTTTTATCCAATGAAGCAATTGGGTCCAATTTTTTTTTTTTTTATCGTAATGGTCCCAGAAAATTGTTGGATGTCAGTTGGATTAATTTAATTTCAAAATCCAAATCCTAAGCCGAAGCCCCGAAGCCGAAGACAACAAACACACAAAAACGATTCCAAATTTCCAAGCATGGACCAAACGTCAATATGCATATATTCACAGCAATACAAATATGCATATTTTCACAGCAATACAAATAATCTAGATCTAGCAGTCGATGACTGCTCTGATACCACTTGTAGGAATTTATAATTACATAATATAAATTCAATAACAATTATCCTCGAACATGCTTTAGTTCAAGGAAAATCAACATCGCGCTAGATAAGATCATAAGGATTATAAAGAGTACCTGATCCATTGAGATTGTGTCTAGATGCGGAATACCTTATCGTCAATCTCCGGATCTCATCTCTATGAATGTTGACATGAACATGCTGGATCACGAACACGTCCTCGATCATGAACGGGGTCGGTTTTATGGCCTTCCTCAACTAAATCGCCTTATTCCTCATATGGGACCGTCATTCTCAATTTCGATGGGGAGAAAAAGAGAATTATGTTTGATTTAGTGTATTGGGGATCATAACCAAGAGGGTCTATATATATTAATAGGGTAGGCCACCCATTATCACCTAACCCTAGTAATATGAAGTATCCACTCATTAAGTCCATATCAATTTTTGTAGCCCATGAACTCTATTTAATTTAGATCACTTAATTGAGTCCATTAATTAATTGAATAGCTAATATAATATAATTGTATATAATATGTTGCCCATAATTAGATTATACATAGGAAATAAAATATTTCCTAACAATGGACCAACGTCTTCTTTCAGATGGGGAGAAAAGAAAACTGTTTGGTTTAGTGTATTGGGGACCATAACCAAGAGGGTCTATATATATTAATAGGGTAGGCCACCCATTATCTCCTAACCCTAGTAATATTAGGTATCCACTCATTATCTCCATATCAATTTATGTAGCCCATGAACTCTACTTAATTTAGATCACTTAATTGAGCCCATAAATTTTTTGAATAGCTAATATAATATAATTGTATATAATATGTTGCCCATAATTAGATTATACATAGGAAATAAAATATTTCCTAACACATTATTCACGAATTATTCACAACATTCAATTGATTGTTTAAGTCTTTTTTTAGTTTACAGATTAAAGATCAATGTTCTTTCAATGTCGAAGAACTGAACCCGTTTTGTATTAGTTTTACATATTTTATTCAAACAATTTGCTTATGGTACCTAGGATTTTTTTTTTTTTCCAAAACGATAGAAGTATTATAATCAAAGGGCACAAATGTGCAACTACAAACTGAGAGGACAGGTCCAGGGACCGCCTAGAACCTCAACTAACCAAACTAGAAAACAAAACGACTCAACATACTACCAACAACTAGAAACGCTCCCCACAGGAGAATAGGATCGGCCCCCACGGGGTAATCAACACAGGGGCCAACCGGCCCAAACCAAAAAGACAATACACAAAACACTCAGGCAAAAAGCCCAGACCAAAAACACTAGACTAAAACAGACTCAAACAACAGCGAAAACAAAAAAACAACAAAGCTAAAAAATAGATAGAAAAATAGCCCTTCCCCGGCAAGCTAGCAGGTACAACCAACAGTGAACGATCGACACCGAGAGAAGTCCCTGCTCGAGAAACCACTACCGAAACTGCGCAGCCGCCTATACAGTAGCCATAACTAAGCCCCGAACCAATCCCCAAGTCGACCCGTCTCCAACCGAGAGAAAACAACCCCAACCCCATCGGCCCTCCCAGAATCCGCCTAACACCACTAGTCGGACCGAAGAAGACTAGTCCCCCCAACCCCCCATGCCTAACACCACTAGCCAAGGGGGGGGGGGGGAGGGGGTAGGAGGTACGGCTTCTCCACCCCGACAGCCGCAGCGGCCAGGGCCTCTCCCCACGATAAACCGCATACACCACCAAACCGCAACAGGCCCGACGGCCAACACCAGCCTCCACCGGGACTCCGTCAGAAAACCAGAGACAACCGAAGGGAAAGCCAATCAGAGGCAAAATCAGAGGGAGAGAGGGCTTACCACTGTCCATGGAAGATCCACCGACGACCGAGAAGCGGTCAACCTCCGCAGGCCGGAAACGGACCCAAGGGGCGGCATCACAAATCTCTGCTCCGCCGTCAATAGCACGTCAGACCGTCGCGAAATTAGGGTACACCGAGTACATAGCAGAGAGAGCGGTCAGGGACGACCGAGGGCCGAGCCCCACCGCCACCAAGGAAGGCAAATCGACGGAGGCAAGCTGCTGTTAGGGTTTTTGCGATTTGGGTGCAGAGAGAGAAAAAAAATGTACCTAGGATTAAGTAGTGAGTTTTACTCGAGGGATTTGATTGTGTGAAGTCCACGGGACGTAGCCAGAGAAGTAGTTGGTAGTTTTTAGTGTAGTTGTGGCTAGGCTAGAAGGGAGTTCCAATTTTTGTAAGTCCAAACTAGACACGAGTGCATAATCGATTTATCAACGAAAGATCTCCGAGGGGTAGTGGGTTGCTCCCTGAATAGTTTATATCTCGTGTTTTGTGCTTCCGCTCTTTCAAAATATAATGGTGTTACGACATAAATTTAAATTTACAGATAATTCGTGTTCTAACACAGTTGAGTTTACTCTACGAGTAATACTTACGCTTCATTATTTTTTTTTTCTTTTCCAAATACGATAGATCTTCATTATGTTAGTAAGTCAAAAATAGGACAAACTTTAAATATAGGTTAGTAAGCCACAAATAGGGCAAACTTTAATTTAGGTTTTTGGAAGCCACAAATGGGGCAACTTTTGCCTGCAACATTTTCCTGGGTAAATAATTTTTTCCAACCTGTATTATACGTGTTTTTGGGATTTCCATCCTAAAGTATTTTTTTAGTAAAATGCAACCTGGACTACATATATACAATTATTTGCACGCTCGACTACTTTTTGACCGTCCGATCATCCGCAAAAAAGGACGTGTGTATAGTCAAGATGTGATCGAGAGTATAGATAGTGACTGTATATGTAGTTCAAGTTGCATTTTACAAGAAAAAATACTTTAGATTGGAAATCCTAAAATCACGTACAAGTTGGATAAATATTATTTATCCTATTTTCCTCCTACAATATATACAAAAAAATAAATAAATGTAAGGTATGTGTGTATATATAGCTGGAATTTAAAATCTAGTGTTTTGCGATTTTCCCTTTTCCTTCTTTCATCTGTTACATGACTGCTGCTCGTAGGTCTATCTTCCCCAAAAACTCACAATTCCCCCCTTTCCATCCACATTATTCATGGAAACTTAAGAAGTTCTTAGTTCAGCCTGCGTTTTTCTTTCGTCGTCGTTGCCAGTCTCAAATTGTTATCGATTTTTTTGGAGGGTTTTGAGATTTTGGCCATTGTTTAAGGGTTTTCAATTTTGACTTTGATTTTAGCAACACTTTTTTTTCGCATAGTGTATTCTCAGACTGCGTTAATCTCAAAATGGTTTAGTAAATAACGCGTCTCATCTCACTATTCAAACATTATTTACCACAATAGGATATCCATCTCCATAAAAGGTTGTTCTAATGCTTACTTTTTTATTTTATCAAGCCTTGATGCTTAATTTCGGCTCTTTCTTTTTCGAATAACAATATTAGATGTTGCTCTTGAATAAATGTGAACCTGTAAATAGTTTATTTGAAAAGTATGTGTCAATCCGGTTCAAATATGTGACTTCCGATGCTCTGTATTTGCAAATTTATGTCCTATGATTTTGTGTTTGTACCCCATGATGAAATCTTCCAAGTTTAGCGTTAATTATTTCTTCACTGGTTGTTATGTGATTGCAGCCATACTTACTAATGGTTGAAGTCAAGAGCCGAGGCAGTCGCAACTCCAAAGTAAGCAAAGTTTTCAAAATTTTAACATCATTCTTGTATGTCATTTCTCTCTAGGAAAAATCAGTTTTTGCCCTTAGCTTTTATTATCTTTTCCGTAAGACAAGTGATAGTTTGATCTTAATGGATCCATGTAACTTAAAGCAGCAAGTCAGATGGCAATAGTGTGTGTCAAGCATAGGTTTTGCCAAATCCGAACCTACTCAAGTACTGGATCTTAGGCTCACCCCCTTCTTGTATTGGAACCAAAGCTATGCTTGTATATTCAAATAGTTTTGCATAAATTGATAGAAAAAAATTAATGCGGATATGTTTGGTAAGTTATCTGAATTTTCATGTTTGGAAACAAAAATATATTTGATAAGTTGTGTAGATATCCATTTTTTATGTAGATTTGCGTGAATTTAGTGAAAAGTTTGATAATAGTTCTTAAAGTAGATTTTGATATAAATTTGGCAATTGTGATGGAATTTTTAAGCCTGTTTGGCTAGGTCGAGCATCTTGCTTGTAAGAGCTTGAAATTTGATGGTGACCAATAGTGGTTAAAATGGATCATTGACTGAATTGCACTATCCATGGACGTGCTTGCCTTGGAATAGATTTGAGAAAACTTACACCCGGGGAGTTTCTTAGGGTGAGTGTGGAATAGCATAATAGGTAAGATAGGTTTTGCTTCTGTAGGACAGTCCTGAGTTACGGTGGGACCACCACAATCTGTTTAATTTTCAATTTCTATGAAGAAGTGATTTGAAATTGTTCTAGCTTCAAGTGAAAACTTACTAGCAAACAATTTACTTTTTTCCAAAATAGTCGAAAATTCACATAATTGGTTTGGGAGTGACTTGATACGCTGCCAAAGGTTCTTGTTGATGTGCCAAGGGCTTACGTGGATTTCAAACCGTCCTATATAAAGCCTGGCTAGGCAATGCAGGCCGAGTAAATCCCATTTCCCCAAAAACAATCGATAGCCGCAAGTCCATATTCTTGACTGAAGATCTACTATTTCAAAACTTTTTCGTTTGGTGCTTTAACTTTAGTTTGAATTATTGTAGATTGGCAATTCAGTGAACTGTAAGTTACACGACTATAACTGCAATTTACTGGAGATATACATGCAAAACAAGTTAATTTGATGTGTATAAAATCCGAAAAATAAAACCCTTAATTTCTTTCCTTTCTGATTATTATGCTTCTTCGTTTTGTGTTTGAATCTCTTTACATGGTTTGAAATATAGGTTTGCGTGTACATTCGTTGTTTTTACTGTCGTCAAATAAGCCTGTATGTAGATCTTGAAATTTAGAATCAAGAAAATGATAGATTGCCAGATCCCATGATGTTTGTGGTTTTTTTTGTCCTCCTGTTGTAGATCTGGGTTTTTTTAATGGCGTATGATGTTAGATATTAGGACTGCATATAATTACTTTTTGTTTCCATTTCTTCCCATTCTCATTTTGTTTAATGTTTTTTTGTATTTTATTTCAAGGACATGGATCCGGGAGAAATAGAGCTACCCTCCATTAAACCTGGTCTGAAGAGAGAATATAACATGATGATGAAGGCTCAGGGGGAACTGATTAGGCCTTCAAGAGAAGGCTGGAGAGTGACCAGGTCGCAAAGCGCCGGTGGTTCCAGACAAAGAAACGTAAAGAATGGTGGTAAGATCAAATGGAAAGTAAAGGAGCCTGTTCCTAAGAAATTGAAAAAAGATAATGAAGGACCAGAAGAGGAGGATGTGGATAAGTTGGAGAACATTGATGTCCCAGGTAGTAACAAAGGAAGGCCTAAGGAGGATGTAGTACATGTATTGTCTGATACAGGACATAAATCGGTAAATGTGGAGCTGGAATTCATTGCTGTAGATGAGTCCGAGACACAGAAACTGCAGCTCAATTCTAGGGAAGAAGGGAACAGGAAGATATTGGAGAATGGTGAGAATTTGGCTAGTGACGAAGGGTCAAAGGGGGATGTAGTGCAGGCACAGTCTAATTTAGGATATGATTCAAGAAGTTTAGAGGAAAATTTAGACGATGTGGGCAGAAGTGAGGCAAAGAAGAAATTGGGAGCTGATTCTAAGAAAGCTGTGGGCCCCCAACTCTTGTGCACAAAATCACCATTGTCTTTGGGTGGGGTTAGTGATATAGATTTTACTCATGAAGGCAAAAGAACAAATGTAGGAGCTTCGGATTTAGGACGTGAGGAAATTGGAGAGGCTGCAAGCAGGATGGGAGGGAAGCCACTGAGGAGGTACGCTCGGGCTCCGAAACAGGGACATGATGAGTCTTTTCTTGAGGCTCTAACGAGAGAGAGTAGAAGGAAAGTAAATTCTACCGATGGCTCTTGTAAACGCGAAATAAAGATGTCAAAGAAGGTTGAGCTGAAGAGGGTGCCTTTAAGGTTAAAGGATCTTCTAGAAACTGGACTCTTGGAGGGTCTCCGCGTCAAATACATCCATATCTCGAAGGTTGGTAATTTGTTCATTATTTTGACTTCGTTCCCATCTTCTTTTTTTTTTATGATAACCTTTTTTTTTTTTTTTCATTTTTTTCTGGAAATCTGCAGAGGAGACAACCAGACACAGAACTTGAGGGTGTTATTAAAGCAACAGGAATATTATGCTCCTGTGGTGAATGCAAGTGGAGAGAGGTTTATGATATGAACTTTACGACTGATTATCAGTTCCTTTTTCTGTGGTTCTACGTGCTTACTCTTGGCTTTTGCTGATGTAGGTAGTGACTCCTAATGTGTTTGAGATGCATGCTAAAAGTGGGAATAAGCGTCCACCAGAATATATATATTTGGAAAATGGGAAGAGTTTGAGAGATGTTCTGGATGCATGCAAGACCAATGAGTCAGAATCGTTGGCATTGGTGATCCAGAACGCCATTGGTCATTTGGATTTTACCACTGCTCTCTGTATTAACTGCAAAGGTGGCATTTCTGATAAATGATTTGATGAATCATGTGTTACACAGTGTGTTGCAATGGATTTTAAACATTTTTCCATTGTTGTTTTCGGTGTTATGTTTCCAGGTTTGATACCTGAAGCTGGTGCTGGCAGACCAATGCTTCTTTGTGATTCTTGTGTTCTACCTAAGGATTCTGATCCCGGCCTCAATCAGAGCAGTGAAGCCAGCCATAAGTAATATAGCTAGTGCTGTTGGCTTTATACCATGAAAGTGACTTTGATTTAGTGCATGTTTCTTTTATATGTAATAGCCTACACATCATTGCATGCAACCTTAATATTTATTTTGCTGTTCAGAGGTAACCATATTAACTATCATATTTTAGTAACTGGGGACTTGAGAAAGCTTCTTTATTTTTCCAATAAAAAATGATCTCAGGAATAGTGATGCAAAAAACGCGATAGTGGTAATAAGCAAGGAACACAGACCAAATCTGTTTATTCCCTAAGTTATTTGGAATTCAAATTCTGCACACAGAGACGTTTTCTATAGGTCAAATTTTTCTCGACTAATATGTATTACTTATGTTTGTTTGTGTTGTAGTGGAGAAAAGAATTGACATGTAGAATGAGTTCAAAATAAAACATTTGGGTAATCAGATATCAGTATAGGTTTTTCCATTCAGGAATGTGGTATAAATATTATTTGAACAACAAAATAAGACATCATTCGTGATAACAAAATTGCATTCAGGAAATGAATTGAAGACGTGTACACCCAATTTGTTTCCGTTACATCTTCTAGTTAAGCTTTAAATGCCCTCTATTGATCGAATGGGCAAATAAATAAAAGCCGTCACTTGGAATTTTTACGAAAAGCAGACATAGGTTCTTGAACATTTACTGAAGTTTTTATATTCTGTCTATAGCTGTTTGGATTCAGTGCACTCTATCTACCTTGTTAAAATTTTCTTTATCTTTCTCTGACGTGCACTTGCTGAAGTGGCCTGGTAAATGGTCATTTTAGGTCCCCGTTGGCTGGGCCATCACCACTGATATCCTCTGGTTGCCTGCCTGAAGTTCCCGGAAGTGCTCAAATTTCTTCAAATAATCAACCTCAAAGGAAACGTCAAGGGAAACTGACGCGGAAGTGAGTACTCTTCACATCTACACTATTTTACGGTGTATTCTTAGTTTACAATGTGGGATTCATATTTCAACCGAACTTGTTTTAGCTGTATATATCATGCACATTTTTTTTTTTGGCCCTTTTCCAGGGATTTGAGAATGCACAAATCTGTCTTAGCGGAAGATCTGCTTCCTGATGGTACTCCTTTGTCGTATGTTATGCATGGAAAGGTGAATGCAAATCATTTCTCTGTTTTGTGCATCTCCTGTTGTTAAATATTTTCTAGGAATTGCTTATGAAGATGGTGAATGATTTGGTTGGTAACACTCACTACATGATTGCCATGGAGCAGAGAAGGCTGAAAGGTTATAAGAAAGATGGTTCTATCTTCTGCACGTGCTGCAATGGATTGGTATGTGATTGTGGCTATGGTTATTTTCGTTTTAATTTCTCTGATATACCCACAAGTCGTATATGAAATTATGACTTGTCATTAATGAGCAGGTGAGCCCCTCACAGTTCGAGGCTCATGCTGGATTCCCTTCTCGTCGAAAGCCGTGAGTGTTTCTTGGTCTTTCTTTGCCTTTTCATTTTCATGATTTTTTCTTTACATTTTAGGAATTTGTATTCTATCAACCACATAAACATAATCCTTTTGCCTTGTCCAATATGAGTACACTTTAGTCCATAAGCTGAAGGCTTCGGAACATTTACTTGAAAGAGTTTGACAAGCATATTTGCTGTTTCATTCCATTTGACTTAATTTGCTGGTTCTTGCAGGTACATGAGCATATACACTTTCAACGGAGTGTCTCTTCATCAGCTATCCCTTGAACTATCCAAAAATGGTAAACCGTCTTCAGAGGAAAATGATGATCTCTGTTCTATTTGTGAGGATGGAGGGAATCTGTTATGCTGTAACAAATGTCCGCGTGCTTTTCACCCTGGTGAGAACATTGTCATGTTGTTGAAATTGTTATAGGATAGTATATTTTGATAGAAATTACAGTTGTATGACAGCTTTTATGCCAACGAAACATAATAGCATATGCTGCTTATGTATCCTCATTACAAGTTAGGATCCCTGGTTGTTTTTAGGGCTCTGTCCACGAAATACCCACCTCTACTCAGTCTGTACATTTTATTTCTGTTTTCTTTGATTTTTTTTCTGTTTATGAACCGAACATGTTGCCTGATATGATATTACCTTTATTGTTAGTATTATATCCTCTACCTCACTTCTTACATTGCTTATCTTTTGCTCTCTTTGACTCCTGTTGCAGTATGTGTTGGCCTGTCAAGCCTCCCAGAAGGAACATGGTACTGTAAATATTGTAAAAACATGTTTGAAAGGGAAAAGTTCGCTGAGCGGAATGCCAATGCCATCGCAGCTGGCAGAGTGCCTGGAGCCGACGCTCTTGCAGAAATAACTCAACGATGTATTCGCATAGTGCCAACATTTGAAGCAGACATAGGTGGATGTGCCATATGCAGGTATGTGAAAGTCAGCATCTTTCTTCAATATCGTGCATCAAAGTATATATTTGGGTTCCAGTTGAACCTGTGGCTGTTCTTTATGGATCTTTTTATCTGTGTGTGTATATTCCCTTTTGTGGATAAATCAATAAAGCAGATAAAACATGTTTTGGCAGGGAAGATTTGCTGAGTGATTGGATATCATTAACTTAAAACTCATAGCCATGTCAATTTGTGTGTTTCACTTGCTTTGTGTTGTATCACGAATACAATTCTCATTTCACTTCCCTCCTTCTCTGTTCACTTTGTGTCTTTTAATTTTTAATTTTATTTTTATCATTTTTTTTGTTTGTAACTATGTTGCAGGGGCCACGACTTTAGCAATTCAGAGTTTAGTGACCGCACAGTTATTATCTGTGATCAGGTAGTAATGTTTTTATTTATTTCCTGACACAGTTTCGATGCTTAGTTTTCTGTTTCCCATATAATGCACAATGTTTAAGGTCTGAATTCGTTTTGTTACTTATTTATTTTGTAGTGCGAGAAAGAACATCATATCAGCTGCCTGAAGGAGCAGGGGATAGCTAACTTGGAAGTACGTTATTTTTCTAACTAAGTTTACGGTTATATTCAGAACTAAAAAATTGGCTTAAATCCTCTTCTGAACTAATTATGGGGCTGTGCTAACTGCAGGAGTTGCCGGAAGGTGAGTGGTTTTGTTCTGAACGGTGCATCACTATCCACGTGGCCCTTCAGAAATTTATTGGTGCTGGGGAGCAGAGTCTTCCGGAAGATCTTATAAATATTTTGAGAGGGAAAATTTACGCCCAAAGTTCTGCACAAGATATTAACCCCCAAGGTCCACCACCACAAGATATCGGCACCCAAGGTCTGCCACAAGATATCGATGCCCAACAAGATCCTGGGCCTGCGATCCGGTGGAGGCTGCTGAATGGGAAAAAAGCTTCTGAGGACGCAAGAGTGTGGCTCTCTGGTGCTGTTTCTATATTCCATGTCAGTCTCGCCCTTCTTTGAACTGTTCTATACTGCTATTACCCTTGTTTGCAACTATGTGAATAGATCTTATTGATGACTTAAGCAGTAAAGTTTTCTTCACCTCACCATATTTGCTAGCTGAGCAAACAAAATTACTCCTGCTACGAATTCAGAAATTTTTGCACCAAATTACATTTGACTTCGTATCAACTTCATTAGCATAAATCTCCACCTCCCCTCCCCCTGATACTAGTACATGCCAGCGTTGATTTCTTTTGACCAAATTTGTTCAGGACCGGTTTGATCCTATTGCTGATTCAAGCACTGGATGCCTTGACCTCATCCCCCACATGGTTTACGGGTAATACATTTGGTTGCATTTACATGCATTGTTTATGTTTCTGTTCTCTTTTTCTTGGCCTCAGCTTGTTGCTGATTGATCTGCAGGAGGGCTTTCAAGGACCAGGATTTCTGTGGCATGTATTGTGCCACGTTGTTTGTTGGGTACGCCCACCAAGATTCACAACAGCATTATTATTATTATTATTATTATTATTATTATTATTATTATTATTATTATTATTATTATTATTATTATTATTATTATTATTATTATTATTATTATTATTTGTATGTAAACATATATGTATAGATTTATATATTTTAGTTTGACCTTTGCTACACAAATTATTAACAGCTCGGTTGTGGTATCTGCTGGGATTGTCCGTATATTTGGTGAGGAAGTTGCAGAGCTTCCTCTTGTGGCAACAAAGACCGAGTGTCAAGGAAAGGTGGGGCCCACTCAACTAGAAACTGATTGGACTGGTCTCATGTACCCTTCTTTTTATGACAAGATTTATGATACAATTTTTTAGATTTTCATTTTTATTTTTTTGGGTTGATAGTATGTTTTATAAATCATTTATCCTTTTGCAGGGTTATTTTCAATCTCTATATTTCTGCATCGAGAGGCTTTTGGCATCGCTCGGTGTGAAAGATTTGGTGCTCGCTGCTGCTGAAGAGGCAGAATCTTTGTGGAAGAACAGATTTGGGTTTGAAAAACTCGGCGAAGAAGAGGTTGGTACTCTCTGTGTGTGTCCCTTTTCTTTTACGTAACTACTAATTTCGCAAGTATTGGGTACACTTCCACATAGAATAATTTGTTAACAATTGTGTCCTTTTTCTTTTTCCTGTTCTGGTCTTTTTTCTGCGAGCAGTTGGAAGAGTACCAGAAGAAGTACCAAATGATGATATTCCAGGGAACATCTGTTCTTCATAAGGCGATCACAAATGCGTGAAACAGTTACCTGTGTTCGTTGGTGGATTCATGTACAAAAAATGGAAGGTTTTTTTTTTTTTTTTTTTGGAAAACTTAAAATTACATTCTTTGTTATTGGATGTTGTCCATATTCATAGAATGTACATTCTCTAGGTCCCTAGATCCAATATCTTTTTGTCGTTAGGTAATGGTCCGAGTTGGGATAGTATGGGCGATTGGAACTATTTCTCCATGTTTGGAGATTATTTTTTGTTCTTCCTTTAAAACTGGAATTCCATTTGGTTTTTCATTGGCAATGTTCTTTTAGCAATCCTTGGTGTAGCCTTTTTTTTTTTTTTTTTTTTTTTTTTTTTTTTTTTTTTTTTTAATTTTTTTTTAATTATTCTTCGTTGCGTAATTTATGGGTAATTGTTTATGAATTTATTTAGTTATTAATTGATTTTTTTTTTTTTAACTATAGTTAATTTTGAAAAAAAAAATTGCATAGTTAGTTGTTAGTAATATATTAAAATAATATTCAATATGATGTAAAAGTATAAAAAAATGATTGGAAGTGATAGTTAATTAAAATTATGTGAGTGGATGAATAGTGAATTAAAATTGATGTGATGTAAGAATGATTAGTCGATATTATTTAATTATATTTATAATAAAGGAGTAATGAGGTTGAATTATTTAATTTTTTTTTTATTTAATGGATTGATAAATAATAACCCCTTAATTTATGTTCATGCTTTGCAACTTGCAAGGTTCTCGTGGATATCAATTGACGAGCGTAGCTAATTACCCAGTTACGCATTGTTCTAAATACTTCGAGTCTTCGAGCGGGTGTAAGATGAATTAAATCATTACTACATATATGAGTGTTATTATTCACCGTCCCCCTATTACTATTTACCGTCCTCTAAAGTCCATTTTGCCATTTTCAGTTTTTAAACAAAACCTCTCCCTTCTCTCTACACAGACTCTCTCTAGTCCACACGCCAGCTCGAGCTCCAAAAACACTCCCGATAAATTCCGGCGAGAGAATGTCATCCGACCAGGTGTGTTTCGAGGCGTCCGGTCAGCCGGCGATCGCGGCCGATCACGGTCCGCCCGACTTAATTTTCACGGCAAGGCCAATGTTGGACGCCTTAAGCGGCCTGCCAGACCAATGTTGGGCGCCTTAGGCGGGACGACCAGAATTTATGGCCGGCCAGACTTTGCCCGACAAGGAACCGGCTGCTAATTTTTTTTTTAATTTTTTAATTTTAATTATATTAGAATAATTAGTATGAATTATATTAGTAAAAGCTAGAAATAATACTAGTACAAAAAAAATATATTAGTATAAATTATTATGTTATAAATTAGAATTGATTATCTTATTAATTATAATTTAGTACTATTTTGTTAGAAGTTAGAAATTATTGTGTTATACATTAGAATCGATTGTCTTATTAAGTAGAATTTAGTACTATTATGTCAGAATCTCGAAATTATTATGTTCTAGATTATAATTGATTGTTTTATAAATTAGAATTTATTACTATTTTGTTAGAAGTTAGAAATTATTATGTTGTGGATTATTATTTTTTGTCTTATTAAGTACAAATTAGTACTATAATTTTAGAAATTTGAAATTAATGTGTTATGGTTAGTATTGATAGTGTTATAAATTAGGATATATTACTTTTATGTTAGAAGTTAGAATTGATTATTTAATAAATTAAAATTTACTATTATTATGTTAGAAGTTATAATTGATTATTGTGAAGCCCCGTGTGTTTATCGGATTTTTTGGATAATATTTTATTGACATTATTATTATTATTATTATTATTTGGATAAATTGCCTAAGTGATGATATTGTGGGATTAATATATATATATATATATATATATATATATATATATTTATGATATATATATATATATTATCGTGTACCGGATGAATTATTTATTTTTCCCGAGTATTGACCGATCGAATTGGGCCTTGTTTTGGCTTTTTCCCGACCCGTTTGACTTTCTTTTTACCCATCTATATGTTTCACATGCTGAATGTGTTTTATATGACTTGTAATTGGTTTATCAAGTCTACACGGTTAAACCAAAGGTTCCAAACTCCTTTAGCAATTTCCACGAATCACTTAGTCGATACGGTTTCCGCTAAGTGAATGTTATTGTATGTGTTTCTAAGTGTTGGGATAGTTATTGATAGGACTATCATAATTATCGTAGATGTTTAACGAGTCGAGGTCTTTACCTACACGTGATTATCGTGCAATCTCTTGCTTCTATCCAGGTGGGTTGTTATTCAAAAAATGCTATGTCGTAATGTAATTTATGTTCTGTTGTATGGTATGATCAAAGTATGCATGTGAACCGTGTAGCCTTCGATGTGAGCTGTACCGGCCGTCGAACGGTTATCCCCGTAGTTATAGAACGGACCCCGTTGGGGTAATCTCCTTTTTGTGCTAGTACAACCAGGGCAAGGCATGTGGATATGAACCCCGATGTAAGTCTGATGGCGAGGTCGGGCCTTCGGGGGGGATACTCCTACTGTTTGGGCATCGTTGTAAGGCATGACCGAAGACATTCGATACATGTATCAACAGTAGTCTATTGATATAGGTGTGCACATGAGTCTTGATTTTATGATTTTATGATGAGAGATGGGATGGATAATTGATTTGTATACATGCTGCGACCATACTTGTTTTATCTTATGATTATTGTTTATTGCATAGTGGTGAGCACCACGGATTCCATATATGCTCAACCCCACCTGTTTCTTCACGGACGTAGGTTGAACAGGTTTGCGGGCACTGCGGAGTGGAGCAAGTGGTGGTCGGTCTATAAGACCAAATCATTATTTGTTCTGCTTCCGCTATGTTGAACTTATTTATGATTTTATGAACTTGGGATATTATGAATTTGGGATTTATGAATTTGAGACTTGAAATAATGTTGGGGAAATGCCCTTGACACTGTGATAGAACTTGGAAACCTGGTTTGGGTGATGTTGACTTTGGATGAAACCCTCATTGGGGGTGTTGATTTATGTTTGACTGTCATTGTGATTTGTGATGACTACTATTATGATATTAAATTTGGTTTTGAAAGCGAGTAACGACACAAAGGTTAAAATTGAGTTTTGAAAAATTCTATTGATTTTTCTGAAAGTCTGGAATTTCTTTAAAACCAAAGTGGAGCGTTACAATTATCTTGTGAAATTATTAATATACATCGCAATATATTGCAGGTGCCACTCGATGATTTTAGAGGAGACGGTTTTGATTGCAGACTACCACATGTGAGCTATTTGATAGTTGTGAAAAAAACTGTTGAGTGGGCAAATAATTTGGCAATTATATATGGTTTCGAATTGATCATCTCGAAACACGAAAAAGAAGGAAAGCAAAAGGTTTGAGGTGTAATCGAGGAGAACGTTAAGAGGCAGTATAGAGAGAGAAATCGTGTTCTTCGAGAGTTTGGGAGATTTGATAAATCACACCACCAAGATTAATCGAAATAGGTGTTTTAGGTAATCCATTAGAAGGCTTTTGGGTAATATTTATTCGAGCCATTAAATCATAAATATTCGGCCACCCATAACCACCGTTCGCCGTCGCCGTCGCCGACAGTCGCCGGAGATTGTGGCCATCGCCGGAAGAAACCCTAGCCAGCCTTATGCAGTCGCAAGCATCAGCCCGCAACCGTGCACAGCCAGGCATCACTCACGTTTCCAGCGACGATCCCGCGCACCCAGTTCCTGTCCTGCGAGTTCCCAGCGACGCCTTGCCCTATCGCACGCTGTCGCCTGACATCCTCGCATCCAATCGCCTGCGCGTCTTCCCAGTGCATGCGCGTAGCCTCTGCCCGAGAACAGCGTGTCTATCTGCCTTGCCCAACACCCCGTGCGCCAGTCCGCCCAGGCATAGGAAAGCCGCAGCATGCCAACCGCACGTGCCTGTCCTCTTCGCTGCCAACCCGAGTCCGCGACACCTAGCGTGTAACACCCCTCCTTACTATAAAATCAGAGTAGCGCTAATTTCGCAAAGTTATTAAAAATAAAACCTTTTTCCTTCGCGAAAACTGATTCGGGGTGCTACCTTTTAAAATCGTGACTTAACTTAGAAAACCGTTGTTTTAATTTAATAAAAACGTTCGGTTACTGAAATCATGAGTTTCTTAAAAGTTCGTCAAAACCAACAAACAACATCAAAAGTCATCAAAATATAAGCGGAAGCATAAGTCATAATCATATTTATACAGTCCAAAACATATATAAATATCCTGAAGTCCCGTCACGTCACGTCACGCTCCCGACCCGACATCCTGACCTGAAAAACATGATAAAACTGGGGAGTGAGCACTAAGGCACTGTGCTCCGTGGAAACTCATGCTAATGTAAAACATTGCAAATAATAACAATATCATGAACTAAGCATATATAACTGAACTGAAACTGATATCTGATACCGGTCTGAACTCGCGACATAAGTCACGTAACTGATAACTGAATATGTCGGCACAAACTAATACCGCAATCTCCCGGCACAAACTAATACCGGTCCATGTGCACACTCTAGTGGTTAGATTAGGCCACTAGAACCCAGAATGGACCGGCGACCATT